GATAAGTAACCACACTTTTTGTGCTTGAACTCAATCAACTACGACAAAGTAATGTAAAATAATTTGCTGCAATGGATGCATACTTCTGGTAGGAAAAATGAAATGCCTAAATTGCAGGTAAGCAACTCGTCAAAAAAGGTATTTTCGTGAGACAGTGTGGCATAATGTCATGTTACATTCGCGAGGCCACAAAAACCGCGCGGTTCCAATGCCAGCGAAACGAGCACGGTCACCAAGGCGTTAAGACATTAGTTATACACGCAACCTGATACTAACCAATAATTTGACATAATCTAAATTGCGAGGCAAAAAGAAGGCGACATGCTCAGAAGTATCGTAAAAGTTTAATATATTAGGTAGGTCAAAAAGTACCTCGATTATTCCCCTGCATTTTTTTGATAGTTTCTTTCGCAACTATTCAAACAACTTGGGTGTCATCTTATAGAGGAAGATCAGCCCTTTCATATTCATACGAAGGTTCGAGGTGATTCCGAGAACATTTGTCGTTTTACCCTCCTTTTTAGGATAAGCAAAATCGTGATTTTCGATTGTTGCCACTTCATGTTTTCAAACTTGGAGGAGACAAGAAAGTGATGCGCGTAGTATAAGGGGTGCCATGTCATTAATCTATTCACCGGAGTAACCCGTGCTGGCAGCTTTAGCAGTTGCGACGCGCGTGGAGGTGCTTGGACTCTTCCTTGCAACAGTAAGGAACAGTTTTCAAGATGGGTAATAGTGTGGGGTAAGACTATGCTTCTGCACGCTAACAGTGAAAGGGTTACCAAATATGTGGACGAAACCAAGCTGCCTTGGAACGCTGCAAAACCTGGAGCGCCTCCAATAAGGATTTTCCTCAATTTTCGATGGCCTAGCTCATTTCAAAGTCCGAGAATTGACTCATTCGACGACGGCCGAGTCCTGTCGTAAAGAGTAGAACATAAAACATAAGAAACTACGGGGATGATAGTCTGCTTCAAGGAAAAAATGAGGTCCAGTCCTTCACCACGATAGCGCTAAATCGCCCACCGCAAAATACGCTCTGTAGAATCCATTCAGAAATGGCTCAGAAGTTCTTTTGCTATCCTTTATATAGCCCAGGTACATCTTTCACGAACCACCAATTCCCCGCTTTTCAACATAGTTCTTGGAGGAGAAATCGCGTTGAGAACTGAGGCATGTCAAATGCGCCTTCCTACAGCTTTTAGCCTATAATAAATTAAAGATCTATAGGAAGGGAAGTTCTTAGCATGGGTCTGATTGAGAACAATCTGCTGGACATAGCAGTTTTTATTTCGAACAAAAAGATTGTGTTTCAGCAAAGCTGTGGTGCTTCAAAATTGGGCGGTCGAAACGGCGGAT